GGCTGAGAAGGGAAGTATGTCCCCAAGGAGTAAAAGAATGCCCTCGGAGGACAGAAGAGGCTGTTGGATCCCCTGGAACTGGAGTTATGGACAATTGTTAGCTGCCAAGAGGGTGCTGGGATTCAAACCCGGGTCTTCTGCAAGAACAGCGAGTGTTCTTAACTGCTGAGCCATCTCTTCAGCCCCTTGTTATTTTTTTTTTTAATTTGTATGAGTGTATTGCTTGCATGTACGTAAGTGCACCCATGTCGTGTAATGCCCACGGAGGTCAGAGGTCAGAAGAGGGCATCAGATCCCCTAGAACTGGAGTTATTGATGGGTGTTAACTGTCATGTGGGTGCTGGGAATCGAACCTGGGTCCTCTGCAAGAGCAGTCGGTACTCTTGACCACTGAGCCATCTCTTCAGCCTCTCTCCTCTGTTTTTTTTTTTTTTTTTTTGTCTTTTTGTCTTTGAAGCAGGGTCTCCCTGTAGCCCCAGCTATCCTGGAACTCACTATGTACACCAGGCTGGCCTTGAACTCACAGAGATCTGCCTGCCTCTGCCTCCCAAGTGCTGGGACTACAGGCGTGCACCACCACACCTGGCTCACCCTCTCTGGTTTTTTTATACTAGCTAGGCACTGTTTATCTCTCCTCTTTCTCTCCCTGTCTAATCTCCCTCCCTGCCCTCCCCATTTAAAGTGTCCCCATTTTCTCCATTTCTCCTTTGATAGTTTCAGTATGGTCCCACCTCTCTTGAGCTCCTTCTTCCCCTTTATTCCCATAGTTCCTTGTATAGCCCTTCTTCTCCCCCTCCCCTTTAACTACCCCCTTTTTACATATTTTCCCTTAGAATTGCATAGCTTTTTAATAGATTATTCTGAATTACTTTGTAATTATCAGAGCACACACACAGACACACACACACACATTGTTGTTGCTAAGACAAGGTCTCTGTATCCCAACCTAGCTTGGGAAACTCATTGTGTAACCTAAGCTGTCCTCACACTCCTGATCCTGACTCCTCTCAAGTGCTGAGACTACAGGCATGTACCCACACCTGCTGCTAGATTATCATACCTTAGATAGAGGCTGCACTATGAGTTAGTTTTCAGGTGTTTACAAGCAGCATAATTGAGAAGACCCCTTTAAAACAGTGAGTCTTGTGGTAGGAGAGGAGAGATGGCTCAGTGGTTAAGAGTACCTGCTATGCTTCCCTAGGTCCCAAGTTCAGTTCCAGGACAGCTGGGGCTACAGGGAGACCCTGTCTCAAAAAAGAAAAATTATACATACAATATCCCGACATGTTGGATAGCTCACAACCCCATGTAATTCCAGATTCAAAGGATCTGTCTATTCTGGCCTCCCCAGGCTCCTACACACATGTGGTGTTGTTATAGGACAGAGTTCATAAAAAAATCACCAACACCACTTTAAGAAAAGTAGCAAGGTAAATTTTAATTTTCGACTGGCCGGCTGTCTATCTCTGGAGTAGAAGCAGCCCTGATGATTGTCAGGTCAGAGTTTTTATAGGATTACAGAATTATCATTAAAACAGGACACTTGTGAACCAATCAGGTTTGTATAACATAGCAGAATTTTGACTCTATTAATCAACAACCAATCATTATACAGACAAGTGATACAGTCATATAACTTGGCATCCAACTTTGTGACCTTAAAACTAGCCAACTATTTTAGCCATAATAAGTATAATAAGACAGTCAAGGTAAATGACTTCTAGGTGGTCATACAATAACAAGATAACAAGGATGGTCTTATGCCCTGTGTCAGGGTGACCCAAGACAGCAAGCGGGTTACAGAAGTGAAAACAAGCTGGTTAGTAAAAATATAATATCTGGAATTAGCACATTCCATGATTCATGGCAAGGGCAATTTTCCAAGGTAACTTAGGGAAGTTTGCTGAGCCAGTTCAGTGTGTGTGTGCGTGCACACACACACACACACACACACACACACAAATAAAATCTCAAAGAAAACCCCCAAAACAACAAAATAACTATCAAGTTTTATATATAATCCAAGTTTTATATATCTAAATTTGTGGTCATGGCTTCTGGGAATGCCTACTACCTTACCTAACCTTTAACTAAAGTTAATCTTACCTTTTGAGATCATTCAATTCTATCTATTCAATCTGCCCTTGTTACTGTATCATCATTTATAACTAGCCTTTAGGAAAACAATGTAAACAACCTTTCTAGGCTTTGGCTCCTTTTATAATCAACTTTTACATGCTAAGCCAAACAGATAGCTTTAATCTTTTTTTTTTTTTTTTTTTTTGTTTTTTTTGGACCGGGTCTCCCTGTAGCCCCAGCTGTCCTGGAACTATGTAAACTAAGCTGGCCTTGAACTCACAGAACTCTGCCTGCCTCTGCCTCCCAAGTGCTGGGATTAAAGGCGTGCACAACGCTTGGCGATAGTTTTAATCTTAAACTATGTTCCCTATTTCTCCCTGATGACCCGTTCCTTGCCACTGACCCAGAATAATGTGTGTGTGAGGGGGGTGTAGGTATGCATGTTGTGATATCATTGTTAGAAGCATAAACCTCTGAAGCAACTAATTATCCACACCATATGTTGTTAAACAACATTGGGCTTAGGTTGATAGTATGTTTGTGGTTTTGTATGTTGCTCTGCTTTGGTAGGGGTCATACAAGTCAACCTTCTTCCCTTATTAGATAAAGTTCCTCATTTCTTTCTCATATCATGCTGGAGGTAGTGTTTTGGGTGTTTTTTTGTTTTTAATTTTATGTGTATGAGTGTACTGCCTGCATAAATGCAAGGGCACCCATGTTGTGCAGTGCCGGAAAAAGTCAGAAGAGGGTGCCAGATCCCCTGGAACTGGAGTTAAGGATGGTTGTTAGCCCTCACATGGGTGCTGGGATTCAAACCTGGGTCTTCTGCAAGGGCAGCCAGTGCTCTTAATCGCTAAGCCATCTCTTCAGCCCCAAGAACTTGTTTTTAAAACAACAACATTTCAAGTCAGTCTTGGTGGCACATGCCATAGCACTAGGGAGACTGAGACAGGACATCTGAATTTTTTTTTAATCATCTTTTTTTTTTTTCCTTTTTGGTCTTTTTGAGACAGGGTCTCCCTGTAGCCCCACCTGGCCTGGAAATCACTATATAGACCAGGCTGGCCTTGAACTCACAGAGATTCACCTGCCTCTGCCTCCCAAATGCCAGGACTAAAGGTGTAGGCCACCATGCCAGGCCTAGGGCATCTAGATTTTGAGGTCAGCCTAGGCTATGTGGTGAGACCCTGTCTCAAAACAAGTTACCAAAAATAAAGCTAAAACGAGAACACTTCTAAGGAAGCAATACACAGGAAAAAACATCAGTCCACCTATTGCAGAGCAGCAAAGGAAAACCATGTATCCCTGAACACAACGAGTCTTTTAAAGTTTTTACATTTATTTAGTGTTTGTGTGTATGCATACATGATTAAATAAGGGCGAGCATGTGATGGTCAGAGGACAACTTGCAAAAGCTGTTCTCTCCTTCCATCATGTGTATCCTCACCTTAAAACTTAGGTGGTCAGCAATGACTACAAGTGCCTTTATACCCACTGAGTTATCTCACCGTCTCACCAGAGCAAATCTCATTCCAGCTTTTTACCAAAGAGCTGTTGTTGGTTGAGACTGATTTACATACTTAGAATTTGGGATAGTCTTCCAATTTCTTTCCTATTTATTAAATTTGTGTTTATATAAGTGCACCTGTGTGGTGCAATGTCTTCGGAGGCCAGAAGGCGGCGGCGGATCCCCTGGAACTGGAGTTAAGGATGGTTGCTAAGTCGCCATGTTGATGCAGGGCATCAAACCCAGGTCAATGGGACTAGCAGCCAGTGCTCTTAACAGCTTGAGCCGTCTATCTCTCCAGCCCCCAATTCCTTTCTTGAATTTGAATAGGAGCTTTTAATTCTTACAGTTTTGTTAACTAACCATTTTGGTAGGAAAGCAGACATTGTAATCCGAGGGACACTTGTGCCCTCCCTTTGGCTGGAAGACTATTGAAAAATAATGCACCCCAAGGAACTGGAATTTCCTCTGGAATCTCATACTGGAGGAAGGGAAAGGATGAAGCTTGGTGCCAGCCAGAGGAAGAACTTGTTTCTTGGATAAAGGTTTCCCACAGTTCTGACAACTTGTTGGACCACCTTGCGGGACAGCATGAGTGGAACTGAGACAATAGTGGGCCAGACCGAGCTCTTAAGGACGGCTTGGTTCCTATTACCCTCAGTTTAAAACTAAACCTCATGTCAGTACTCCAAAGATGGACTTGAGAGGGGGTCACTGGACTTTGCTCTTCCTAATGTGGCCTCACTGAATAAATCTTTCTCTGCTTTTCACTCTTGTGTCTTTAAACTTGAGGCTAGGTGGCAAAGCCTAGCTTGTTAGGGCTGCTAGGGCCCAAACTTTGACTCTAGAAATTCCGCTAACCTTTTCACAGATTCTAAAACCTTACGCGCACACCTACACCGAAAGGCTCACATCAGGGACTGGGGCAATCTTAACTGTCTACCACGCAGGTGCTGAGCAAATGACTGAGACAATGATGGGGCAGGAAAAGCGTTCTAGACAGCTGGTTTGAAACATGAGCTGGGGAAGGTTCTCCAGCTTGGCATTCAACATTTCCGAGTGCCACTCAGTACAGCGCTTTGCGAACACTGCGAACCGGAAACCGGAACATTCGACCGCTCTAGCTGCTCGCAGAGAGCGCTCTGACCGCAGGATTGCCCACAGCGCCAGGTGTTTCCGAGCCTGAGAATCGTGCGGCCTCCCGCAGACTCCGCCACTGCAGCCCAGGCCGGGGAAACCAGGCTCGCCACATCCGTTGTCGAAAAGGTGGGCTTCCCAAAGTGGCCACCGGTTTCCACGCCCCCAGCCACGGCGTGAGGGCAGGGCCTTGGCCGGCACGCCCACCGACGACAAGGCACAAGCACCGTCGCGCGGCCTGTCGCCCCGCCCACCGTGCAGGCCGAGGCGCCTACCGATTGGCCGCCGGGCTCCGGGTCCTCAGGCCGCACGCACCTCCCCCACAAGTTTCCCGCCAGCAGCTGCCGCGCGGCGGATGCGGACCTCGTAGGTGTTCGGCCGGACCGAACGGTTGGGTCCGCAAGCCACCGTCATGTCGCGGCAGAGCACCTTGTATAGCTTCTTCCCCAAGTCCCCGGCGCTGAGTGACGCCAAAAAGGCCCGAGCCGGAGCCTCACGCGAAGGCGCCGCCGCCATCACGGCCTCTCCCTCCCCCGGCGGGGATGCGGCCTGGAGCGAGGAAGGGCCCGGGTCCCGGCCCGCGGCGGTATCCGCGTCGCCGCCTGAGGCGAAGAACCTCAATGGAGGGCCGCGGAGGTCGGCCGGCACCGTTCCGGCCAGGTAGCGGGTCAGGGTGGGGCGCGCGACCGGCTCAGGGCTGAGGGGGGCTGCGCGGCGGGCTTGGGAGCGTGGGGCCGAGCGCCCGGGGCGTGCGGATGGAGGAGGGCCGGCGGCGGGCGCTCTGCAGGAAGAGGAGGCGCTGCTCCCGGCGGGCGGCGGGGGAAGGGGAGTGAAGGCGCTAGCCCGGCCTGGAGAGACGCTGGAGGGCGGAGGCCTGCCCGGGAGGAGGTCCAAGTTGCCTTAGGCTTTCCCGAGATGCTCCCTAAGAGCCCAATGGAAATTCGGGACGCGGAGACGCCCCCCCCCCCCCCC